GCTAGCACTAAGTCCCTCCCCCATCCACCTTTATTCTTTTCTTTACAATAAGGCTTTCAAATAAGTCATGGTTGTACGGCAGTGAAGCATCGGTGTTGAAGACTGATGTCATACTGTCGATGATGATGAGGAGGAGGATGATGATGATGTCGTCTGCGTTACTCTGCACCAGCTTGAGGCACCGGTAACGGATGTTGACGATTAAACTATGCTCGTCGAGTATTCGTGAAAGCGTGTGAACCGTTTCGTCAAGAGTGAAGTCACGTGGGTTCTTTGGAAGAATATATTTGGCGTACTTATCGTGCTCTGTGTGCCCAAGTTTCGGGATCGGGAAGCGAACCTCCCAACTATCATCCTGAGTTGAATAGATCCTCATATCGATTAAACGAGGCATCACGTGTTATGCCAGCCGAGTGTTCATAGCAAAACTTTGTACTGCCCGCGATTCCGTCAACCGACTCTGCGACGTTCGACGCAGCCGATGAAGCCAAATATGTAGTTGATAGTCTTTCCGTAAGTAATTATGGGTTGCAGTTGTTGCTCAAACATCACTTTTAATTGATCTGCCTCCTTACTCGCGTCGCCAAATATATTTTGTTTCGATAACGCAGCGAGCGAAAACATGCGCGAACTGTGACGATATTCACTTCTCAGCTATTTTGTTTGATCCCGGAATAGTAAGAAGACGAAACCTTGGACACGAATTGAATGCTCCGAACAACAGGCGATCTACAGAAAGGTGACACTATATATACATATATATCCTTAGGTTGGCCTTGAAAATGCTAGAATTTCGTTAGCACACAAAGGTACAGATTTTTGGGGATATTGATATCCCCAACAAAGTCGGTCGATTATCAGGACAGACATGCTCGCCGTGGTGGAGGATGAATCAACCATATCTCCAAATTGTTACGATTTCTTGAACAGGGCTACTCTCTCGTGTTCCACGTTGGTTGTTCTTCTTGATCTGAAAATTACTTTCAACTCTCGATCGAAAGAAACAACCAAATAAAGGTAACCGTTTATCTGTATCGCCTTTTTTGTGCCTAGCTGTCATGGCAAGGGAAGCGCGAGTGCTCAGACACTCCTAGTTCGCCCACCTAAATGGGAGCAGTCAAGATGCAGTAGTCGGGCTCGAAACACGAACTTTTCACTCAGTATGGTCGCACCATGGACTCGGATCGGAATCGTTGACCACACTGCATAGTACTCGGCACCGAATAGGAAGAAGCTTTCCAGTACGCGCTCTTCGCTGCATCGGGATTGTTGCACTCAGACTTGGGATACCAAGTCCCCCATGTTGTTTACCGGCGTGGATGTAGCTGATCGGGGTGTCCTTCGGTAGACGTAGCCAGCGACGAATATATTGCCTGATGTAGTTGTCCAACCTTTTGAGCGTGTTTCGATGAACTTGGCTGAGCACGAGTGAATATGTCAGCCTCGGTATCAGGTGGTTCCTCGTGATCTCCATTCTTTGATGCGGCTTCAACGGGGCACGCGTCACGTCATCGAGCAGTGTAAGCAGGTGCTGTCGGTGGGTGAAGACCCCTTTCCCCTTGCTACTACTACCATTAGTAATAATAACAATGACAATCGTTCAGCTGTAATGCCATTTAGGTGCATACCTGCCATGCCATTCGAAGAAAGCACGAGCGCTGTGATACTGTCAATTTGCTCAACCCTAGACACAGGTTAGGTTCGAACTACAGACAGTCAGTAAGTTCGCGCTTCAACTACTCGACCATCTGTGATTCATCGTCATCATCACTTGACAGCATTACATCTGTGCTCAACATCGATGCTTCACTGCCGTATAACCGCGATTCATTTAAAAGCCTTATTGTAAAGAAAAGAATAAAGGTGGATGGGGAAAAGATTCAGTGCTAGCTTATCACAATCATTCCAATGTGCCTTCACCTCCAGACATTCATTCAGGCAATCTGGATAGAAACTGACAACAAGAACGCCACTGACATCGGTTGGCAGCCACATCTTGTAGTGTCTCCAACCAGGCACAGTGAGAGTCACGCGGTCCTCATCCTGGAAGGCGAGTAGCACCGACAGCACCCGAGCGTTTCGTGATCTTCATACTCCTATGCCAGGTCAAGGGTTGGCCACCTCTCTGCTTGCGCCACTCTAAATTGTGAATGGAAAACAGCACTTTCTTCGGCAGATGAGGGTTCGGCATACGTAACACATGTCCCAACCAACGCAGCTTCTGGTGCTGGACACATTCTTCAATGGAAGTACCCGTTGCACAACCGAAAACGCGCTTTCTAACTGCCTCATTACGGATTCACCGACACTAACCCACACGAGCTATGACAGTTGTTGTTCAGCCCACAGGTATAGACGTTCTTCTTTAGTCCAGATGGTCGTTCCATTCTGATGGTTGATGGTTTCACTCACAGGTGGTTTCCGGGGACCCGTCGCACGGATTAACTGAAATCATCTTCGGGCATTACCGACTTTCTGGGCCTCTTCCATTTCTTTGGCTTTCTGTGTCCATCATGCTTCATGGTCGGCTCGCACGCTATATTTCACGTGACGTCTGATAACTCATCACACCGGTTTATATTCGGGACCGGCTGGGATATTTCTCCGAGATTCAAGCAGTGCCACTGTTTGGTCTGATATCCAGTGCTTGAGTGCGCCTGGGTCGTGCCACAGGCGAAATTCCCAACACTGTAAAGAGGTGACAATCTCGTCCCAGTATGAGTTCACATCTGATGGTGGAGCACTTGGAAGAGA